GCTCGAGAGCAGCCCGTTGTCCGAAAGACTAGCCGAAGGAGAATGTTGGACAACTGGACGAAGGAGACCGGCGCTGGGTGTGAAGGCTCCGGCAACTCACTCATCACTCATGCACACTCTCGCCTCAGCTGACTGATTGTAGCACAGTTACTAGAGTTGTGTGTGTGTGTCCGTACGGAGTTGTCGGGTGCAGCCATCGGAGTGTGGGAGGTAGCCTTTGAAGCCTGACGGTGTTGTACTCCACCTGGCGGGGGGGTGTGTGACACGGGCCGGCCGATTGGTTGACCCTCCAACCCTTGTCCGGTGACGGGGCCTCTTGGTCGGAGTGGTACCGGCTGATGGACACTTAGGCCTGACGAGCCGGGGATACAGGCGACCAGGCTACACCAAAAGAGGACATGTTCACCAGTTCGTCTATACAAGGGACTTAGGGCTGTTGGTGCACGATGCCAGACGTCGTCCAGCTTCGTGTTTACAATTGGCCCGAAGGCAAAGAGAGCTGGACAAATGGGCTCTGTGCTGGACACTTTGACCGAAAAACCTGTTTTCAGCGGCCTTTGGCCTCACCTACAGGGGTCCAATCGAGTGTTGTGGGCCGAAAGAGAGTCAGAAATGTCTGCATAAACTAGACCTCGAAGAAGTCCCTTCCACCTGTCACTTGGTGTAAGTGTCGGCCGGAATAGATTCGCATGCTTGCCTCATCGGTATCAGCATTAGTAACGAGTAGGCTATCGAGACTGTCTATAGATCCTTCATTACTGACCCCAGATCTTTTATAGTGCTCAAGGAATGACTGTCAATTTTTCCAAATTCATAGCACCATACATTGCATTTTACTTAATCCTACTGCCCACCAGTTATCCTCATCTAGGCAGGACTGCTGTTTCCACCTCGCCCGAGTTTCACCAACACACAAATCTGGACTCGAACCCGGCTAGTTCAATAGTTATTTTCGACATGCTACAACCCCGCGACGTTTCCACGAATACAACTTTTGAGACACACATGAGCAAACACACACGCACCATATACATATATAAATATAAATATATATATATATATATATAGTGTAGAATCATAGCAACTAGTGGGAGGACTTTAGTTCCACCTTTGGAATGGGAATATATATATAAATGAATATATATATAAATATATATGAATATATAAATTGCTCAAAGGCTTTAGATCCAGCAAGAGCCCAATGGAAACCTCGTTATAATTAAGCTATTGATAATAAACGACTAATCAATGGATAAAAATAATGAAAATGGATGAGAAAATAACTCTTCATGTCCACAACGTATGTATTGTCCAACATCTTGCCAAATGTCTTCTCGTTACACTAAAGCCAAAAAAAAACTGGGCGCATATGAAATAAAAACTTCCATAATAGTATTATCTGGGAGATTCATCTAAATTCGGCTAATCTTCGTAGCTAGAAGGGTAAAAATCTTTAAAAAATACAAAAAAGAGCAAAAAGGACTGAAGAACCTATCTAAATGACTGTCTATTGTGTACTAGCGAAAGGTGCGAGAATATATATCATAAGATAGCCTAAACATAAGCTTCAAAGAATTCGACAAAGTTGCAGTGAATTGATCAGACTGCTAAAACACTCGAATTACGGAAGGTAAAAACTACAAGGCCATGAAAACTACGTAATGGTACTTTTAATTAAGTGGTTATTTATTAATAACCATATTACCATTAGACCCTTGTTGGATCAAGAAGTTTAGATTAATATGAGATGTATTCACCCAATTTCGCTTAAGGTGATGGAGGACTGGTAGAGTAAGAATTTGCCCACAATGATATGAGTTGAGCTGACATTTTCATTGAATTCAATGGAACGAAATTGGTTGAATAAATCTCATATTACTGATTTACTGGTAGTCACGAAAACAATACTTAATTCAAAAAATAAGGTTTAGAGTAATTTGCATTTTAAGAGATATTTACATTTTGCGTTATCATATCTACCAGTAATATGTTTTTATACTAAGAGTCGAATGATAATCCCATCATTGGAATGACCTCAATTTCTATATTGAATATCATATTTATAGTGCCAGTAATTATAGGAGTTATATTTGACATTTTGAATTGTAAAACAGGAAAGGAGAATGTACACACTATAAATGCCTCTGAAGAAAGCTCCTGCCTTAATAAGAGCCTAATAGAAGCCTTGCTATAAGTAAGCTGCCGATAATAAATGACCAATCGAAGCTTAAAAATGAAAATTGGTAGTAATTACGACAATGGATTCGAAACCTGAATAAAGGAATGTATACTGAAAGAAGTGTATGATAGCATAGAATTGAAGCATGAAGATCCTAAGAGATCTTAAATATACGCCTCAAGACAAATAGAAATGTGGCAGAAAAGTGATCTTCACTGACGGATGCAAGAAAGAAGGAAAAATGTGTAAAATGTGACATGACTTTCCAGTTCGAATGAAAGGATGGTTGAAAAGAATTCATGATCTGGTCTAACTGGAAACCGAAGAATGACTGCCGCACAGCGAAGACTGTTTTACTGTGCGAGGAAGTCCTCGGCTCACCATCCTACGACCCTAACGAATATGTGCTAAGCTTTCGTCTGTACCGTCATGACAGACGGGACATCATGAGAGCAAAAGTCCATACTTTACGAAATAGAGCAAAAATATACTAAACCAAGAAAAAGGTGCAGGCTGCAACACTAGTAGCTTTTTGTACACCTAACTTTGTGATCTTAACGAGGCTTTTCCTGATTTGGTTAGCTACTTCAGCCTTACTCTACACACTTGCAAATGAATGAAGTTAATTCCCGAACCGGAAGTGCGTTGGCTGACAAATGTTTCATTACACACACAAAATAATGTACGATCCTCTAATGTTGAATCATGTTTAGGCTCGTGCTTGTGTCTATTGTGTGTATACAATGTTCATGTCATGAAAAGTGTGATGGCCCTAACTAGACTCGCGGCTAAACCAGCCGCCTCTTGTTCAGTTGCTCTTCCTGCACTCTCTCTCCCTCCCTCTTCTTAAGCATATCCAACATTCGTTCCTATTCGAAGATATGAAGACCAAGATGGTGTGGCCTTTTGTGTGGTCGCAGTCTCCTTTCGTTGTAT